TAGTATTACTAATGATAAAGAATAACCATAAGAACACTAGTAATAATAATAATACTAAGAATAATAATAATCATAATAAGAAACATAAGAAGAGGAGTAGGAGGAGGAGGAGGAGGAGGAGGCGGAGGAGGAGGAGGAGGAAAAGAGAGGAGGCGGAGGAGGAGGAGGAGGAGGAGGAGGAGGAGGAGGAGGAGGAGGGGAGGAGGGGAGGGGGAGGAGGGGGAGGGGGAGGGGGAGGAGGAGGAGGAGGAGGAGGAGGAGGAGGAGGAGGAGGATGAGGATGAGGAGGAGAGGAGGAGGAGGAGGAGGAGGAGGAGGAGGAGGAGGAGAGAGGAGGAGGAGGAGGAGGAGGAGGAGGAGGAGGGTGGGGGGGGGGGGGGAGGGGCAGGGGGAGGGGGAGGAAGAGGAGGAGGAGGAGGAGGATGACGATAAGGAGGAGGAGGAGGGGGTGGAGGAGGAGGAGGCGAAGGAGGAGGCGGAGGCGGAGGCGCAGGAGGAAGAGGAGGATGAGGAGGAGGAGGAGGCGGAGGAGGACGCGGACGCATAGGATGCATAGGACGCGTAGGAGCAGGAGGAGGATGTGGAGGCGGATGATGATTATGCTGCTGCTGATGGTGATAACGAGGTTGATGGTGATGCTGATGATATTGATGATGATGCCGATGCTGATGCTGATGATGCTGATGATGACGATGTGATGGTGGTGATGGTGATGATGACGACGATGATGGCATTGATGTTGATGTTGATGATGATGAGGATGCTGCAGATGATCATGATGATGGTGATGGTGATGATAGTGATGATGATGATGACGATGCTGATGTTGATTATGATGATAGTGATGCTGCTGATGCTGCGAATGATGATGGCAATGATGATGATGCTGATGCCGATGCTGATGCTGCTGCTGATGCTGATGCTGATGATGCTGACGAGGATGCAGATGCTGATGCTGCTGATGATGATGATGCTGGTGATGCCGATGATGCTGATGATGCTGTTCATGATGATGATGCTGATGCTGTTGAGGATGACTATTATGACGATACTGATGCTACTGATGCTGATGATGCTGCTGCTGATGCAGACGATGATGATGACGATGCTACTGTTAATGATGATGCTGTTGATGACGATGATGATGCTGATGCTGCTGATGATGAGGATGATGATGAGTATGTTGCTGATGATGCTGCTGCTGATGATACTGACGATGATGCTGATGCTGATGCTGCTGCTGATGCTGATGCTGATGCTGATGCTGATGCTGATGCTGATGATTTGTGCTGATGCTGATGATGATGCTAATGCTGATGCTGATGATGGTGCTGCTGATGATGATGGTGCTGATGGTGATGACACTGATGACGACGATGATGATACTTCTGATGATGATGGACTATGTGATACTGCAGATGATGATGATGCTGCTGATGACGATGATTATGCGGATGCTGATGATGATGCTGCTGATGATGATGCTACTGATGTTGGTATTGGTGGTGGTGGTGATGCTGATGATGATGGTGTATGTGATGCTGCTGGTGATGATGATGATGATGATGGTGGTGATGGTGATGGTGCTGATAATGATGGACTATGTGATACTGCTGATGATGATGATGATGCCGAGGATTATGATGATGCTGCTGATGATGATGATCATGCTGATGATGGTGACGATGATGTTGGTGATGGTGATTATGATGCTGATGCTGATGATGATGTTGATGCTGATGCTGATGACGATTATGATGCTGATGATGATGATGCTGATGATGATGAAGATGAGGATGCTGATGAGGATGATGATGAGGATGAGGATGGGCATGAGGATGAGGATGATGATGATGATGATGATGCTGATGCTGATGATGATGATGCTGATGATTATGATGGTGATGATGATAATGATGATGCTGATGCTGATGCTGATGCTGATGATGATGATAATGATGATGATGATGTTGATGATGCTGATGCTGATGCTGATGATGATGAAGATGAGGATGATGATGATGATGAGGATGAGGATGGGCATGAGGATGAGGATGAGGATGAGGATGAGGATGATGATGACGATGACGATGATGATGATGATGATGATGATGATGATGATGATGATGATGATGATGATGATGATGATGATGATGATGATGATGATGATGATGCTGATGTATATGCTGATGCTGATGCTGATGATGATGATGATGATGATGAGGAGGAGGAGGAGGAAGAAATGGAGGAGGAGGAACAGAAGGAGGAGGAGGAGGAGGAGGAGGCGGAGAAACAGGAGGAGGAGGATGCTGAGGCGAAGGAGGAGGAGGAGGCGGAGGAGCAGGAGGCCGAGGAGGAGGAGGAGGAAGAGGAGAAGGATGAGGAAGATGGGCAGGAGGATGAAAGAAGGAGGAGGAGGAGGAGGAGGAGGACGAGGAGGAGAAGGAGTAGGAGGATGAGGAGGAGGGGTAGGAGGAGGAGGACGAGGAGGAGGAGGAGGAAGAGTTGGAATAATATCCTCTTCGAAGGACGGAGAAGGGCCCCCTTTGCCGATGGTGTCCTCAGATTTGGTGTTTTTGGGCTCCCAGAGGGACGTGTGCCTCGGGGGTATTTTTTTCCGAAGCGCCGAATGCCCCAGAGCAGCAGCTCCATCGCTTTCTGTGCGCCAAGAATAAAAATGCGGTGGCGCCGGCGAAACCATGTAGGTGGGTGGTCGGGGCTCAAGAGACGGGGGTCAGTGCAAGCGGGGGTCAGCCAGAGCGCCGGATCTTGCAGGATCCTGCAGGGCTAGGGTCGCATTGACCCGGGTTTGAGTGCAGGATCCTGCAGGATCTTGTAGGATCCTTCGCGTTGACCTGGTTTTAGGTGCAGGCTCTTGCAGGCTTCTGTCAGGCCTGACTGACCTGGGTCTGGATTGAGCCGGGTCAGAAGATCCCTGAGGTGGGACGGAGGCGAGGACGAGGACGAGAGCGAGTACGAGACAGAGGAGGGGGATGACGGAAGACGGCGCGAGGGGGTGATGGTGACGGAGCTGATGTTGATGGTAATTATGGTGATGGTGGTGGCCATGATTTGGAAATGAAGGGGATAGGCAGGATTCTGATACACACATATGATGGGATGAAGGGCGGGAGAGGCGGGCGGAGGAGGGAGGGACAACGTCCTGTCTAGATTATGCAATGGTCATGGCGCAGGGGCTTACAGGTTCGATGACTGTTAATCAGTGGCCCGGCCCAAACTTCTCGAAAAGCAGCGAGGGAGAGAGAGTGAGGTGACAAATGAGGAGCACGTGGAGGAGAATCACGATATGGTGATGATTGATGATGGTGGCGAATTTGGTGTTGCTCGTAACGCTGATGATGAGGGTCGACGATGCTGCTCATGGTGATGGCGACCTTGACGTCTATGCTGATAATGCTGTTTTTTTATGGTGGTGATGACGATGATGTTGATGCTGATGCTGATGCTGATGATGATGATGATGATGATGATGGTGCTGCTGCTGCTGGTAATGGTGATGATGATTATGATGATGAGGATGATGCTGATGATGATACTGATGATGCTGATGCTGGTGTTCCTGATTCTGATAATGCTGATGATGCTGATGATGCTGCTGCTGATGCTGATGATGCTGATGATGATGCTGATGCTGCTGATGAGGATGAGGCTGAGGATGATTATGATGGTGATGCTGATGACGATACAGATGATGCTGATGCTGCTGCTGATGATGATGATGGTGATGATGATTATGGTGCTGCTGATGATGACGATGCTGCTGCTGATGCTGCTGTTGTTGATGATGATGATGATGGTGGTGATGGTGATGGTGATGCTGATTCTGATGATGATGCTGCTGATGGTGATGCTGATGCTGCTGCTGATGATGATGCTGTTGTTGATGATGATGATGATGATGCTAGTAATGATGACGAGGAAGAGGCTGGTGATGAAGATGCCGATGATGAGGACTAAGAGGGGCATACTGACAACATAGAGGATGATGGGGAGGAGGAGGAGGAGGAGGAGGAGGAGGAGGAGGACGAGGAAGCAGATGATGATGTTGCTGCTGCCGCCGATTACGAAGATGAGCACCATTAGGCTCGTTGCGAGGAGCTCGAGCTGGACTTGTGCGCCTGGAGCTCGGAGAGGGCCCCCACGCCTTCCCAGGGAGCGAAGTATGCATCGTCCGAAACTTTCAAATTCAAGCACTTCCAACTACGCAGGCACCCCGCTCAGGCACAGCGGCCTGCGATGCCCAGGACACCCCCTTCCCCCCCGCCCCGTCGCCCCCCCCCCCCGAACGAAGAGACGCTCGGATGGCCCTTTGGGGTGCCAACCTTCCTTCACCGAGTCTCGTACCCCGCGGCCGCGCACATCGGCTGACCCGGGGCTGCGAAGACCCGCGTTGCAGTTTTTTTTCCCTGCACTGCAGTTTCTTGCTTTCCTGCTGGCCCGGGTCTGGATTGACCCGGGCCAAAAGATTCGGGGGTGGACGGACCTCCTACCTTGACACGTCGATCAGTGAATTGGCCGTTTTCGGTTCGCGAGAGGGCGTCGCGGCCGCCGTTTTGCGGGTCTAGGTCCGTCGGTTTCGGTCCCAGGCCGTTATCCCTGAAGGGAGGTTTATTAAAGGGAGGTTTGTCCACCGCCGAAAGATCCCCGACGGCAGAGATCCATGCTAAGAGACACACCCTGCTTGCCTCCAGGGTGCCCCGAGTTTTCCTTGGGCTGCGACGGCTTCGCGGCGGGCAGCGGGACGCTCCCGCGCCAGAAGTCGAGGGACGTCCATGGGGTCTCGGGATGAGCTCCTCTTGGGGCACCTGGCATCGCTCGGACGTGTGCATTTTTTTTCTCGGCGAGAACCATGGAGAACCATCCTGGACCATTGAGCAAAACCAAACACGCGCGAAACCGAAAAATGCACGGGGTGTGGACGTCCGAGCGATGGCAAGGGCAGGCCTCTCGTGGTCGAGCTCCTGCTGCGCGCGTGGGAGGCCCGGGAGGCGGCCCGCGCCAGCGCCGCGGCAGGCGGCGCGGCAGGCGGCGAAGGAGGGCGAGCAGGCTCGGCAGCGGGACGCCGCGCGCTCCGCGCTGGCGCGGGCCGAGGCGAGCGCCGCGGCTCCGCGCCGCCGCGGCCCCGCGCCGCCGCGGCCCGGCCGCGCTGCGGCCGCCGCTCGGCGCCGCGCGCCGCCGCTCGCCGCCGCTCGCCGCCGCCGCCGCTCGCCGCCGCCGCCGCCGCCGCTCGCCGTCGCCGCCGTCGTCGCTGCCGCCGCCGCCGGCGTCGTGGTCGTTGCCGTCGTCGTCGCCAGAGGATCTGCACGAACGAGATGGGCACGGAAAGAATGGGTACAATGCCCAACAGCAGTTCCTGTTCATTTTGAACAGGACTCGCTGTCCGCTCCGCCGCGGCCTGTGTCCATTTGAGACAGAAGGCCGCCAAACCAACAGCGGCCGCTGTTGGTTTGGGGCAACATTTGTTGTTGCGCATTGTATGTACCCATTCTTTCGGTACCCATTTCGGGTGTCCAAAGGGGAGAGGGGGGGCAGGGGTCGGGGCTCAAGAGACGGGGGTCGATGCAAACGGGGTCAGTCAGCGCGCCGTATCTTGCAGGATCCTGCGGAGCCAGGGTTGCAGTGATCCGGGGTTGGGCGCAGGATCCTGCAGGATCCTGCAGGATCTTGCAGGATCCTGCAGAAGGTCCCCGAAGGTGGAGAAGTGGGAGGGAGAGAGAGGGAAAAGGAGAGAAGGGGAGGTCGAGGGAGTCTGCCGTTTCTGTTTGTTTGTCTCTCTGATTCCCAGGGCCCCCTCGTCGCCTAGGCCGGATCCGCCTTGAAATCCTGTCTGAGCGCTCTCCAGAAGACTCCGGGGGGTCGGCTTGGAGGGAAGCAGGAGGAGCGGCAGGAAAATGGTAATGGGAGGGGCCCCTCTCCTCCCCATGCCCCGCGCAATCCTCCTCCCCTGAGGTATTCTTGGATTCCCAGATCCCCATCTGCTTTAGGCGCCTTCCTTCTTCAAGAGTCGAGTGGTTGTCCCTCTTCCCTCCTCTTCGGGGGGCGGGCGGGAGCCCCATCTATTTCCAGCGCCTTCCTACTCCATGTTTCTATCCACTCTTTCCTCAGGAGGGAAAAAGACACAGACACAATTCATCGTCGATACCCCAGAAAATATGGGAAAATATGGGAAGTGGGGGGGAAGACAGAAACACAAACATATGGGGAAATATGGGGAATCTTTTTATTTGTGTGTATTTATTTGTGTGTTCTGGGGCCCCTTCAATTCCGACCGAAGATGACCGGTGAGTGGCTTCCCCCCTCCGCGTGCTGTTTTTTCACACCGGACTCAGCTGGTTTGATGTTTCCAGTCGGAAGGTCTTCGGCGTCTTGCATGGTGCTGCCGCTGCAGCGTCGGCCTCATTTTAGGATCGGCGCTTTGCTCCCGTCGTTCGGAATGGCTCAGGGGCAACGATAGGGGGGGATAGGCATAGGGGGGATGCATCGACCCCCAATCGCCCATTGATCGCCGATAGGGTCTGATAGCACCAACCCGGCCAGGAAGGTGCGGATTCATTATCGGAGGCCTATCGCCGATGTAACCCTGGGAAGCAATCAGTAAACCCCCCTCCCCCCCCCCCCCTCATCAGAGGAAATTATAACGCTTCCGGCACCAGGGCCGGGGCGGAAGCGATATCCCCCCCACAGGTCACCAGAGGTCCGCGGAGGGGAGGTCCCCGGAGGTTCCCAGGGGGCATCCAGAAAGGCCTCCACAAGCTTCTGAATGCCCGGTCCCCTTGGGCATTCCTTTCATGCCGCAAGTGTTGGCAAGCGCGCAGGTTGTCGGCTCACGCTGCCGCCAGCTTCGGGCCCGGGGGGGGGGCAAATTAATTAATTATCATATTTTTTATGTGCTAACGATATCGCCGGAGGGCGCCGCCCAAAATAATTATTTATTTTATTTTCTGTGCTAAAGATATCGCCGGGGGGTTTACTGTGTGCTTCGTAGGGTTATCGGCGATGTATCGCCGATTCCAGGTCGATGCATCCCCCCCGATGCCAGTGCCCCCCTATCATTGCCCCTCAATGGCGCTCTCGCCCCAGCGCGATCCCATTTTCTGGATCCGCGTCCTTCCTCGTCGCCCTCGCCCCCCTCCTTGCCCTCTCCCCCCGCCTTCCTCCGGTCCCCCTGCTCCTCCGCCGCTCCTCCCACCCCAGTTCCCGCTGCTGCCGTCCGTCCTCGTCGTCCTCCTTCCTCGTCCTCTGCCTGCTCCTCGTGCTCCTCCTCCTGCTCCTCCGTCACCTCCTCCTCCTCCTCCTCCTCCTCCTCTTCATCCTCCTCCTTCTCCTCCTCCTCCTCTTCCTCCTCCTCCTCCTCCTCCGCCGTCCGTCCTCTTCCTCCTCCTCCTCCTCCTCCTCCTCCTCCTCCTCCTCCCTCTATTCCTATGCGCGCAGCTCTCCTTCTCCGATCGCGCATGACACGATGGGTTTTTTTTGGTTGTTGTGGGGGGGGGAGTTCCGGGTCCGCTATGACACGCGCCCGCGGATAGAGACACACCAGCGCAGTGGGAAGGCATGGGCGGCAGGGTAGGGTGTCAGATACATGGCGCGAGCGCACAGAGCTTGCCCTATTCCCTTCTCCCCGTCTCTCCTCCCTCTCTCTCTCTCTCTCTCTCTTTCTTTCCCTCCCTCCTCCTTCGATCGTCTCTTCTCACCTCCCCCTCTCCCTCTTTCCCCCTCTCCTGGCTGCCTCCCCCCCCTCTCTGCCCCTCCCTCCTCGAATCCTCCCCGAGCTCGTCCTCCGCGACGCGTTGGCGCAGGAGCTCCGGCGGCAGGGCAACGACGCGTGCCGCCAGGGCCAGCTGCCAGGCAATGCGAGCGCCGGCCAGGACCTCGAGGAGGCGGGGGGTCGAGGCCAGAGGAACGACTCTCTCGAGGGAGCACAATGAAGGCGCGTGGATTCGCGACGGGTCCCGTTTCGATGCGACATCGGGCCACTCCGTCTTCAAACAAGGCGGCATGCAGCTTCGTGTTTGGGGGGTGCTTTCCCTCGTTCCGTGGGACTTGCGCCCGCGCGCCAGACCTGCGGATCCTTGAGCTATGTCAGCGTGTGCCGTGTGCCCGTTTTTCGGTTTCACGAGAGTCATTAGGGGCTTGATAACTATTATCCAGTCGATGTGCTGGGATAAGGCTAGACGAGCTGATTCAAGTCGATGGTGTCCGAAGCAAGCTCGAGGTACATCCATACACGTCAAGATCATTCTAGATAAGTCGTGGAAGATCCAGCGCGAGTCGAAGGGCGGCAGAAACTGTGAAGACCTCAACGAGAGGGGTTCGAGTTTCGATGCTCGAGTGTTGATATTTTTGGACGAGGAGCTCCAGGTTCGAGGGCCGTCGTGAGGCCCTCTTGGAGGCCTCTTGGCCCGTCTTTGGGGTGATTTTGGAAGCCTTTTCGACCGTCTTGGAGCGTTGGGCACCCGAAAAGGCAAGAGCGGTAACATCTTTGTGACACCGTCGCAGCATAATCTGTTCACCATAATCAATCAGTAACTATAGCATGTTAGCCAGCGTGGATGCCAAGCAGTGTGTTCTATACATATATATATATGTATTATCTATCTATATGTTGTGCAATCTATGTTGCGCAGTAAATGTGGTGCAATTCACGTTGACTGTCTTGAAGCTGTCCTCTCCACTGCTCGTGCACACATCCCACCCTCCCACCCGCAACTTGGTCGCAAGACCTCCTAAGACCGTGACTGTAGGTAACAAAAAGGCCCTTGGCAACGACACCGACGCCGACAACGACAGCGGCAACGACGACGACGCCGACGACGATTACGACGACACCGACGACGACTCCGACGACTTCGACGACGACGACAACGACGACGACGACGACACCGATGATGACGACGACGACGCCGACGCCGACGACGACGACGCCGACGACGACGACTACGACGACACCGACGACGACTCCGACGACTTCGACGACGACGACGACAACGACAATGACGACGACACCGACGACGACGACGCCGACGACGACGACGATGACGCCGCCGACGACGACGACGCCGCCGACGACGACGACGACGACTTCGACGACGATGACGACGCCGACGACGACGACGACGTCGCCAACGACGACGACGACGAGGGAGGAGGGAGGACGTCGATGCCGACACCGACGACAACGACGAGGGAGGAGGGAGGACGGCGACGACGCGAACGACGAAGGAGGGAGGACGTCGACGCCGACGATGACAACGACGAGGGAGGAGTGAAAACGACGACGAGACGCCGACGACGGACAACGACGACGACGAGGGAGGAGGAAGGACGACCACGGCGACAACGACGACGGCAACGACGATGACGCCAAAGAGGACGACGACGACGACGACGAGGAAAGACAAAGGACGACGACAGGGACGACGACGACCCCGACGAGGGAGGAGGGAGAACGGCGACGACGACGACGACGACGCAAGAGCGCGCGCGGAAGCCATGTGTTATTGTATGTTTGTTGGGCACTCGATTTCGAAATCCTTCCGAAACCGAAGGTTTTTGAATGATCTCGGCATGCGCGCGCGACGACGCGCGCGCGAGCACTTCGGCTTTTTTTTCAGAGGATTCTCTCGACGGCACGCGCGCGCAAGGGCGTTCGAACGATTTCGACATGCGCGCGCGCGAAACCTGTTTGGTAGTATTTTCTGAATTTCTTGAAAACCTGCGGTTCTCTTAAACATTCGCAAGAGCGCGCGCGTAAGCCTTTTTAGAAACCCGTGTTGCGAAACCTTGTGTTTTGTATGTTTTTGGGACACTCGTTTTCGAAATCTGTCCGGAACCAAGGATTTCTAAAGGATTTCGGCATGCGCGCGCGACGACGCGTGCGTGTGCATATCGTCCTGTTCTTTTGCAAGGGATTCTTGAACACTCATGATTTTGATCAACGAGTGCGTGCCATTTTTATTTTCCAGAGGATGGCGGGGGGTCGATACCGGCCTGGCTGGGATAGTATGAATTCACAGATCGGATGGACATTGGGTCAGAATCCCATGTGTTTTGCATCGGTTCCCGGGGGATCTTTAACCCCGGGGGAAGAGGGGGGTAGAAACTATTATTTCTCTTGAAAGGAAAGTCTATATGGTATTCCCTATGTTGTGCAATGTGTGAGGAGCAATCTGTGGTGCCACCTGTGCGGTGCAATCCGAGGTGTTGAAAGCATGTGGGGCAACCTATGTGGTACAATCAATATACGCATTGCAAGTTATTTCTGTTTGAAGTGGGTTGTCAACTCCACTGCTGGCGCAAACATCCCCCCCCCCACCCGCAACTTGGTTTTCAAACCCCATGCGGGGGCGATTGCGATGAGTGATTGGCGCTGGCTGGTGCATCTCTGCGGCCGCGCCAGCCCGCGCATGCGCGCGCGCGCAGCGGCCAGGTAGTTTGGCGCGACCGACGCGGCCGCGGTGGTGCTGACCGCTCGGCACATCCCAGCGGCACTTGAGTGCGAGTCGGCGACTTGGGCGGTTGCGGTATAATGGCAACGTTGACGCTTGTAGACACGATGATGATCATGATCGTAGCGGTGCAAGTGACGATAGTGACAGCGGCGACGGCACGGACAGTGACGGTGCCGATGCCGATCACGCCGACGACGATGACGGCGTTTTCGCGTCGGTGATGAAGGTTTTGGAAGGAATTCGAAATGCGCGCGCGGCAGGCGCGCGACAGTGGCTCGCACGGTTTTATTTGACACGGGTCTTGCCACCCCAGCACGCGCGCAAGAACGTCCGAAGGATTTCGACATGCGCGCGCGCGAAGCCGGTTGGGTAGCAGTTTATGAGAATGTTGAAAAACCCGAGGTTATTTTAAACATTCGCAAGGCCTCGCGCACGCTTTTCTTGAACGCCCGTGTTGCAAAACCTTGTGTGTTTATAGTCCGTCCGAAACCGAAGACTTTTGATGATTTCGGCACGCGCGCGCGACGACGCGCGCGTGTGCACTTCGTTTTTTTTGGGGGGGGCAACGAATTTTTGAAAACTTCGGATTTTTGATAAATGGGTGTGCGCCATTCTCTGTTTTCTGCTGAGGATGGCGGGGGGGGGGCGATACCAGCCGAGTTGTGCACAGGTAGGATGGACATCGGGTTAGAATCGCATGTAATTTGAAATGCGAAGAATGTGAATCTTTCACCCCGGGGGGGGGAGGGTGGTAGAACCGATCTCCTTCTTAGAAAGGGGAATATATGTGGTGCAAGTTATGAGGAGCAGTCGACGTGGTGCAAATTAGGTGGTGCAGTGTAGGTGGTGCAGTGTATTCTGTGCAACGCATAACATATATTGTGCAATCTATGTGGTGTAGTTAATTTTTGTTCGCGGTGATTTTTGCCAACTCCACTGTTCGCGCAATCGTCCCACCCACTTATTCGCAACTTGGTTTGCAAAACCAATGCGGTGGTGATTGCGGTGAGGTGTTGGAAGGTGCATTTGTGCGGCCGCGCTGGCCCGCGCATTCTCGCGCGCGCAGCGGCCAGGTAGTTTGGCGCGACCGACGCGGTCGTGGTGCTGTCCGCTCGGCACATCCCAACGGGTTTTTGCGTGCGAGTCGGCGACTTGGGCGGGCGCGGTATCATGGCAACGTCGACAATTGTAGACACGATGCTGATTATAGTAGCGGTGCTAGCGACGATGGTGACAGCGGCGACGGCACGGCCAGTGACGGTGCCGATGCCGATCACGCCGACGACGATGACGGCGTTTTCGCGTCGGTGATGAAGGTTGTGGAAGGAGGTCGACGTGCGCGCGCGGCCGATGCGCGAGAGTGGCCCGCATGGTGTTATTCGACGCGGATCGCGCACCCCCAGTGCGCGCGCAAGGGCGTTCGAATGATTTCGGCATGCGGCGCGAGTGGTTCGTTTGGCAGAATCCAACGAACATGTTCAATCATTCTTCTGATAATTCGCACGAGCGTGAGCGCAGATTTTCATTTAGATATAATCTGATGATTGTAGTGGCTTCCGGCCAGTGCCGCCGATCCAGGGTGCTACCGGTTCAGCTTGCCAAGGATTTTCATGTTTCAAAGTAGAGCACTCGCTCGAGACATCTTCATAAGATGGACGACGTGAACTCGCTTGGGCAACCTTCGGACATTCGAAAGTGACGTTCTTGCATGAACAGCCAAACTCATTTGATGTTGACGTAGTTGATGATGTATGACACCTTTTGGGGGCGCTCTTGGGCTTCTCGTGTTCTTTTGTTGGCGGCATCCTGGATGCTTCTGTGGGGCGCGGTGGAGGAAGTTTTTGGATCTCTTGGGGGCCTTTTGGGGGCCTTCTTGGGCCGTTTTGGGCCTTTCTTGGGCCGTCTTGGAGCCCTCTTCGGGCGCGAATGGCGTCAGCCATGGCGGCGGCCCTTCCCCCCCTCCCTTTTCCCGAGCCTGACTGGCGTCAGCCATGGCGTAACCCCCCCCCCCCCGACAGAGTGAAACTTGAGCGAGCTCCCCCCCCCCTCCCTCCTCCCGGGCCTGAATGGCGTCAGCCCCCCCCCCCCCCGATCCCCCCCGGGCGTCAATGGCGTCAGCCATGGCGTCCCCCCCTCCCTCCCCCCCTCCCCCCTCCTGGGCCTGAATGGCGTCAGCTATGGCGTCAGCCCCCCCCCGCCCCCGACAGCGAAGCTTGAGCGAGCTCCCCCCCCGCCCCTCTCGGGTCTTAATGGCGTCAGCCATGGCGTCCCCCCCCCGACTCCCCCCGACAGGGCGAAGCTTGAGCGAGCTCCCCCCCCCTCCCCCTCCCGGGCTTGAATGGCGTCAGCCATGGCGTCAGCCCCCCCCCCCCCCACTTCCTCCTCCCGGGCCTGCTCCTGGGCCTGAACGGCGTCAG